TCTACTCAATTTGAAATAATACCTACTTGTAACTGTTTATTTTAATTAAAATAAAAAATTAAGCCATTAAACCAAAATTCCGGAAAAATAGACACGATTTGTTCACTAAAAATTAAATAAAAATTTAAGGTTTTTTGTACTCGTGAAAACGCTGTCCGTCATATTCATGACGTCATTCTGTATGTAGAGATTAAAAGATGTCAACAGAACAAGAACAATGCCATCTAGGAATTTGATTTATAATTAATAGGCATATCTTGAAGACTTATATGACAGTTGTCGCCACAGTGACGTCATATAGTGGCGAATCGTGTTTTAAGTTACGAAAACGGAGCAAAAAAAATCACAACTTTTAATTTTAAGATAATAGGATAATCAGTCTTAAAAAGACTCAAAATCTGAATCTCTATATTTATTACGATATAAGTTTTAGTTTTAGTCCAATTTTGTGACTTATTTTTCACTACCGAAACTACTCTATTATGTAACTATTGAAATATCGAATAATCAAGAAACATAATAAAAACAAATAAACCAGTCAAAAAATTGCATTTAGCATTCAACTCTTTCGTTTAGTTAAGTCAATTAACGTTAAATTATGGATATCGTTCATTCAATTTCAAAAAAAGGTCGCGAGCGCAATAGCTGTCACATGTTAAATAGTTGAAAGCGTGAAATTCGTGAGTAAATATATTTCAAATGTCAAAAGGAAAGGGATATCGACGTATTTTAAAATAACACAATAAGCCCCTTTAAGCTCGTCTTATAAACTTTAATTAAATAAAAAAAGTATTATATACAATGTGGTGACGGATGGTCGTATTGAATTCTTCTACACCTATACTAATTAAGGGTCAATTATGCTAACAAAATCTTATTTCTTTTCACTATATACCTTCCTACTTCAATATTTTAACAGAATGGTTCATGGAACGAATTCATATCACGAAATTAATGGCGATAAACATTTTCATGGATATTAATTATATATTATTCTTAATATTGACTACGTTGACTTACTAGCAATAAAATTATAAAATGGAACTTACCGTTAACACTGTAAAATTATAATCTTCATATCTATAGTCGAGGAAAGTATTGGGACTTAAATGACGCCACTAATTTCACATAGTCAATTCACAATTCGTTGATTTAATATTAAAACCATGATCTGTTTTTGTTTACAGGTCACAGAAGCTTTTCGGAAGGTAAGTTTAATTATCAGAAATAAGATTTTGTTAGTAAAATAATTATACATTATGAGAACTACATCCAAACGATAGTATTTTCAGTCAGAGTTGTTTGCATAACGCGTTCAGGTTGTGATTGTTGTCTTCATGAAACTTTCGTGGGGCTTAGTAAAAAGATGGGTGACGAGTCTTGATAGCTTAAGTCGCTGATTACGCTACAACGGAATTCTTGAAATCTCCAAAGTCTCACTGAAGTAATGTGTAAAACCATAGATAAATAAGGCGATTATCTATAGCAAAGCACAATCTTTCCGTCTTTCTATCCTTAATCTGTATCTCATTCAACTCCGATATACTATTTAACAACCGGAACAGAAACTTGGTATGTGGTAGGCCATCAAGTGAGACATAATTTTTATTACCATTTTTTTGTAGTGTATATACCTATTTAATTTTTTTCTTTTATTTTATTATTTAGGGACTTAGTAACGGACCTATTTTCAAAATCAAACTCGTAATATCCAATTATAAAAGATATAATTTTGTGAGCGGCACTTTAAATTAAAATAATCTCTTTCCCAGAATACCACCCCACATATTTGGAGCACCCGCCGACTCATCACGAACACCCCACTTACCTGGACCACCCACCACATGATGACATATCACACTTGCCCGAGTGGACACCAGACTCCTCATCACATTACACTGGAAAAACTCTGGCAACGTACAAGAGAAATGCGGAACCATACACGTACACCAAAAAAGGAGAATGAAGTATCACGCAGTTGCACAAACGTCCGTTAAAGCTTAATGACGACTTTAAGCTCTAAGAATACTCTTAATTTGAATATTTGTCTCGGTAATGTACCTTTAAACTAATGACAATAGGGGTGACGATTAATTTTTGTCAGTTTGTTCGTCAAGTAGATTGTTGAAAAATTTAAACACGTATTTTTTATTTTCGTAATTATTAAATTACGGCAATACATTTTACACGCTTTGGTAAATTTTCTACAAAAGTATGACATAGCGAGCCCCCACTCCTCAACTTTAATGCCTGTTATCCAACAAGTTATTTTTTGTTAAATTCAAGTAAAAAAAAATAAGTATCTAATGTTTTTCTATTATCTGACTGACGGACGTAATAGTTTCTTTTTTTTACCCAATCGTCATCCCTATTTTAATGAAACGTTTTTAGCTACATTTGACAGCGACTATAACGCATAGCTATAGCTGTATCTATACCTGCAGGTCAATTCTGCGAATGTTTACGTAATAATCGTCTCAAGTCGTTGAGATTCTATTGCGATGCTGTTCGTTTTCAATTGCATCATGCAGTTAAATTTGCGTTTCAATACGTATTATAACCGTGCTGCCAGATATAGCTCAACCCTTACTCTATATTGGTGGCAATTCTGTTGAGTGACACGAACTAGACTTTTAGTTTTAATGTTATCGAAATTATAATTATTCTTTTCATAGAGAAAATATGAAAGAAAATACATAAAACAATATAAGTATTATTTTCATAAAGAATAATTATAATTCTGAGGATTATGAGATGGGATCCTATCTCATTTAATTTATTTTATTTCATTTATTCATTTACCACAAACATGGTTAATAAGATAACAGAGTTATTTTTGATATGTACATCAGGTTTCACCTATTATTAAGCATGCAAATTTATATATGTAGTCTCATTATTTATTCAGAGTACAAAGTAGATTTTTTAAGAATATTTTCCAGTGTACCATTGTGAATGCGAAATTGATCAAATAAAATAATTATAATCAATGATATTTCTTAGATTACATGTGACAACAGAACAGCGTTAGGCTAAAACCCGTATTTTTAGTTTACAACAGAATTACCGCCATTGTCTTTGACAGAATAGAGAAAAAACAGAATTTGGCAAACGATTTTTTACTATACCTACTTTATTTATCTGTTAGCAATTAGTAATATTAGTAAGTACTTATAGGTTTCTTTTTTAATTTTGTTTACCAGATTCCGTTCATCTAGTTTAGTTATTACTTAATGGCGTCACCAAGATGCCTTTATAGCCAGTCATTAACGATAGATTATATTATTTATTGTTTTATTATCAATACGATCTAAAAAAAGACACTTTTGTTATGCAATGTTTTTTTACTTTATTTATTTTGTATAGAATAAATTAGATTACAGGGTGTAGAAACCCAGATTTTTCTTGTTATTAGTTGCAAGATATTTGTGCACATGCCACAAATAAATGCACGTGCACAAACGGCAACAAATCTCAAAACCGCCACTAACTATTACCCGATACGAAATCACCTCAGGATCTAACATAACACTCGACTTTAATCATGTATTTATTTATTTGCGGTTGGTGCACTATCTTTCAAGCATTAAAGATCGCGTCACATAAATTGAACTACATTCAGTAGTACATTTTCGGGTCTCAATATCAACGCAATATACACCAAACTGAACTGTACCTCAAAGATCTATTCTAATAAAGCACTTGAGCCAGGCCTCGAGGCGTTATTCGTCATGTAAGAGAGAAAGGTTGCACTACTCATACATAAGTAGGTAAAGGGAGCATGGTAGAACGATTCGAGGATGAAACGGATATTTTCTCACGATCTCTCTCTCTCTCTATTACAAAGTTACATTTACACTGACAGGCAACTTTATGCTGTATCTCTTCGCGTAAAATCCCCATTTTGGTTCAACTTAGGTGCCACCGCATTATCACTGATGTGGAAGTTGCTAAATGATGGAATAGTTTTACAGTTTACCTTTGGTTGATTTTTACTCTGATGTATGATGTTAAAGTTAAATAAAAATGTTAAAGCTACTAAGCTGGTAAGTTAAAGCTACTTTAAGATTATGCAATTACAGCAATAAAATCTATCTAATGTTGTAAATAAGTATAAATCGCAAAAGTTCTTGTGAGATTACAAAGTTTTTTTTTTTTATTTGCATAGGCTAGTTTTATTCTGTCTTATAGAGAAATGAAATGCATTTATTAATAAATAAATATTTATTATACATAAGTATAAAATGAAGTACATCAATTATATTGTTTTAAGAATGGACGGATTTTCATTTAGGGTAAAGTGTTCAACAGTGGATCACTTTTTTTCCAGAGGCTGTAGCTCAGCTCTGAATTGAGTTAGAAAGACGAAAATTGAGATAGTAGGTAGGAAATGTAATCTAGTTTAATATAGGTGACTTGTTTTTATGAATAGCGTTAAAAATAATACTATGTATACACTTTTTTAAAAAGTCAAAAATGAGCCACTGTGTACACTGGGTGTTGAACAGTGGCTCGCCCTAATGTTCACAGTGGATCGGGGCAGTAACAGTGGATAATTGATTCTAAAATGAAATAAAAAACTGTAGTATCAAGTTTTTAATTAAGTATTTGAACTCTTAGGTACAATATGTAATAAAATCAGTCACAATATTAGAGATCACAATAATATCTTCTTCAACTCTTCAAATAAACATCTTCAACATTAAAAAAATAAGAACACTTTGAACTTATTTAGTTAAACTAAAAAAAACTTAAATATAAAATGCACTAGGACTCTTTAGTCATACGAACTAGGTAACTAAGTAAATATGTATCCAAAAAGAAATAAAATATTAATAAAATAATTGCAATGCAATTACAACCTACATTGCAACATTAAATGCAAATGGCTTTTTTGGTTATATCGACTAAATGTCAATTCAAAACAAATCAAATATAATCAAACAAAACAACTTCTTAAATCTCTTAATAATTAATAAGTAAAACGAAACTATAACATTTTAATGAACATTCAGGTTCGAAAAATCGATTGGGAAGCAATAATAAGATTGCTGTCTCATGGTGCTGCCTCCAAAAGTGGGTTTTGGCAATATATATTTAATATCGCGCTCTTTTGCAATCGACAAATCAGGATTATTAGGCATGGCATATTTACCATGGGCCTTCTTACGCAGATAGCTAATGTAATAGTCAAGATTATGATTTCTGCTTTCTAGCACTTTGCCAATGTAAAAAACTTTTTGCTTCTTAGTAGAAAACTCTACTAAAACAAATTCACCCTTTCGAGGCGGTCTTGGTAGAGGATCAGTGAAATCATTTTCTGTCAAACAAATTGTTTCATTTTCGATGTCATCATCTGGCCACTCGTTATCTTCATCTGATTCCTGGTATTCTACATTAATGTTTTGATCTTCTTCACTCTGATCTTCAGAGTCACTTTGTAACACCTTCTTTATCACTTTTCTTTGTTTTGGATGATGAATATCGCCTTAAAGTAGTAAAAGGAATGTTGTAATCTTTTGATGCTTTTCTCACACTCATACCTCTTTGTATTGCCTGCAAAGCATCTCTCATATTTTCTTCAGTGTGGGCCCCGATAGAACGGGGTTTTTCTGAACGTGGCATCCTAAAAATAAAAGAACCTAATTTTAGCAAAACCAAAAACACGTCCGTAAGCGACAAATAAGTATGATTATTGTAAGTAAGCATAATATTAAATTAGTAGGTAACACTTTCTTATTTAAGTTGATAAAATCACACCAGTAGTACAATAATCCAGTAGTACACAGTGAATCAAGACCCACTGTGTACCTTCGTTGATTGAGCCACTGTGTACGAAATCGCCATTTTGAATTCCAAAGCATGTAGGTAAAATAATATTCATAATATCAAATGTTTTTATACGTGAAAATAACCTTTGTTTAATACTATCAACAGTTGAAATGAAGCAATAGTAAAAAAAAAACCTATATTTGAGTTGAAACAGAAAATATCTTACCTTAAAAGTAAATATATTTTTCAAAATTATAATAAATGCTTGTAGCACACACACTCCGCGGCGTAGGCGCTGCTCGACTAGTTGTGACAAGTTGGTATCCCAAATACTACCTATGAGTGAAAGAGGCAGTTCTATATCTTTATCCTATACCCTCATACTGTTACTGAGCCACTGTATCTGGCATAGCCACTGTTCAACACCTCACCCTACTTGTTAAAGTATATCTACTACCAATTATACAAAATCCTTTATTCTTATCAAGTTTTATTAAACTATTTTCGATGATTTACTATACAAATCTATGTCCATAAAAATTGTAAAAAACATATATTTTGTCCCTTGGTAGACATTTGAGATTCTTAACATCACATAAAATATAATAGAAAACATGTTTAATAACAAAAATAAAAAACAATGTACAAAAATATATCACATTCTTTATTAATTTCATCATAAGTCCATTACAATAAAAATACTACACAAGTTTACGAACATATAAAAAAAAATTAAAGCTAAAATTTTGCGATGGTCACGTTTTAAAATCACATTTTTTTAATGCTATCGTTTTCTAGTACACGCGGTAACACTTTGTCATAGAGATTTGCCTACGCAGTCAATTTGTACCTATCGAAAGTTTATATGAAACTTATGCAGATATTTTGGCAGATGCAAGCGATCATAATGTATATCTGTACAAACGGATTGCGCAGCTAAATCGTAGTAATGTAGACCGGCCATAAAAAGAAAATTTTAAACACACAAACTATCGGTTTTTTTTATATCAGCACAAATACGCCATCGTAAGCACAATATTTTTAAATAACCTGTTGATATCAGAGTTTAAAGTCATATTTTAATATGTATACCAATATATGATATTTTTATGTCAAGAATCACGATAAGAACAATAGAATAAAACAAATATAATGTTCACAAAGCGTTCTGGCCACAGTAAGATATCCAAATAGCGAAATTCGTGTTATGACTCTTATAAAAACACTCATGACGCGTTGCAATCACAGAATAATCACATAACGAAACCGTGTAGTGACTAACATACTATTCGACCACAAAGCCTTATGGCAACGAAGCGTATTGAAATATAATCGATTACGACTAAAACTACTTTGCGATATGGATATAGATTTTTGTTCAAGAATTTCGTATGAAGTTACCTCGCCTGGAAGGTTAAGATTAAACTATTTTTGACATGCTCAACGCGTCTAATACTGACATTTATTACAAAAGTATAAAAGTAAATATCTAATTAAATATTTATAATTTTATGTATAATAATCGACCAGTACTTCAAATAAAGCGACAAAGCAAAAAATAATAATATGAAAGATAAGGTCGGAGTACTCAAAGACAGACTTGACAATGTCTAGGAAGAATAAATGTAACCATATAAGTAATTACGTTAATGTGAGAGTGAATGACGACCCGGTATTACGCTTGACCGATAAAAAAGAAAGGGGAAAATGGCATGGAATTATAGCAGAGGATTATAACTGAAGATAAGGAAAAGAGCAGTAAAGTATGAAAGATGGAACAAGAACTCAAAAAATTCAATCACAATAGATTATAATACACAACGTTCGACGTAGATGGCATCACTAGCATATGTAATAAAAACTTTTTCGAACATTTTGTCTTTGAAAAGAGTGGTTGACTTTCCATCTTACATCCAAATATGCAGAAATGTATTATTGGATAAAAATACACTATCGCTAATAAACAATATATAATAATTGCTTCTACGCTCACTATTCCCTTACCTTTAATTATTTGTTATTAAAATTGGTTATTAAAATTGTTTCCTACTTGAACTAGAGCAAAGAAAGTTACAGCAACACGTATATTAAAACTGTAAACACAACAGTATCAAGAAATATGAAACTGCTACAGATATTGGTACTACTAGAGTATATTTGAGTACATTAATAGCACCATAATTTAAAGGAAATTAAAAATATATCAATACTCGTGTAATATTTCATTTGGAAAAAATATACTTCATCATCTTCATTGCTGTGCAATAATAGTCTTTTAAATCATTTAGAAATATTAAAATATATCACATCAAATGCACTGCTCCAATATCAAAATAAATGATTAAAGCACTTGTCTTTTATTAATCGGAAGCAATGACCATTTAGACAGAAGGTTAGCATTATCTATGCCCAAGATAGTATGAAAACTTAATTCTCTTCATACTTTTATCGATAAGAAAATCAAGGACCTAAAAGTTGACACCATGCAACTGGCGTACAAATCACTAGACAATGAGGCCATCGTCATAATAATACAATTAGTCATCTATCAAACGTCTGAATACTTGAGTTATAATGTAAAAATTATATATATCTAAAAAATGTAAAAAAAATGTCTTCTAAATTGCGCTTTTCGTATATTACAGTCAGACTCAAAAGGCTTACAACCTAAAGCTGTAATAAAAAATGTAAAAAAGCTATCACATATGCAAGTCTGATAATTTCAAACAGACACCTAAGAATATACACAAAGTTATCAAAATGGAATCGCTAACTAAACCTAGCACATTATTGCTAGAAAACCAACTATACCTGACCTTCTTTTTGGTCAACCTCCTCTTGTCTATGTTCAGTTTCTTCGGCCAGCTGTCAAAATCCGACGGCACCTTCTGACACTGGCTGTCAAACCACCTGCGCGGGAGATTGCTTGATGTTTTTGCTTGAATGCACACGTCAAAATGTCCACCGCTCTTCAAGGAGTTTTTAAAGTCCTCGTCCATGACTATTGTCTTTGATCGGAGGTTGTATGATATATCATTACTGAATAGCAAGTTATTTTTATTGTCTCTGACGTAGAGATAGAAATCGCCAATATCATCTATACTTGATACGTACCAATGAACGTAAATAGCTTCTTGTGAACTGCAAATAGAAAAATAGCACTGTTTAATAAAATTTTATTATAATTAAGCGACTTAATCCTCTTTTGCGCATAGCAGACCTAAAACTCCGAGGAAGCCCAATTGTAGATTTAAAATGTATAATGAGTAACTTATTTCAATAAGTATAAGATTCAAATTCAAATTAAATCTTATTTATTCAGTTTTATGTAAATCTACGGTGACACCATGCACTGAGAAAAGCCCGCAACAAACTCCTTTCTATGTTTTATTCCATACAAAGAATTGAATTGAAAAATGACTTCATTAGACTATGAAGTCACTTACCATTGCAACGTTATAAATTACGAAAGAAGTGATTGCGCAAAAACCGAACTTCCGGTTTGATCCATCCGGTATTACCGTTCTTCAAAAATAATGAATCTTGAAATTTTTTTTTATTAATTCTTTGACATCAGAGTCTGCTATGATATCAAATTATATACAGTATTGTAAATTAAAAAAATATCTATCAAGATTAATTATGTTTGAAAACCGGTAATGACAGATGCATCAAATCGGAAGTTTGGGTTCCGTGGCATCACCCAGGTACAGTCACATCCAGTTGCACAAATGTCCATTAAAATGTCCAATAGTTTAAAGCGTCATTACCTATACAAGTTTGATATTCATTAGAGCTCAAAGGCGACATTAAACCTTAATGGACGTTTGTGCAACTGGACGTCAATTACTTAAATATTAAAGATACTCACTACTGTATATCTCTAAACACCAAATCCGGTTCAGTCTCGAACTCATAAACGATCTCCCCTTCAGTATTGCCATAATTCAGTTTCTTTTCATCTATGGCAACATTCCCGCTACACAACAATCTCTCTTCGTCCACTGTCAATATTGTCTCGCCTTGTAAACCCGGTGGTTCAGTGCAAGTTAAATTGTATGGAGTGGATGGCAAAGTAGAAGGCAACAATCTATGTAAGTAATGTTTTAATGATCGCACGAAACAATTACAATTCAAGTCGTTTCCTAAAAAAACACATTAAATATTAGACATCACATACATATAGGTAAGATAGCAATCTTAGTGGCTTAAGCTTTAGGTGCCTCAACACCCAGACCCGACAAGATACAGAAAAACCGGAACATAAGCAATGGTGACCAGATCATACGTCAATCAATTAGCATGCCGTTATTACCAATGAGCAATGATACAGGGTGAGTAGCTCAGTGGGGTAGATAAACGTCGCGGCCAGCGATTGTTATTCTTAAGCCACTTTTGCAACGGTCGGACACGTGATGGGTTGGCCAAAAAAAAGTTACTATCTCGAGCTACTCCGTGCTTTAGAAGGCACGATAAGCCGTAAGTCCGGCATACGTTTGCAGTCGTAAATAGCCTCGAATCCGCATTGGACCAACGTAGAGGATTATGACCCATCCTATTTAACCATCCATTAACAGGGAGGCCTGAGTCCCTGTAGTGGGGAGGTAAAAGGACTGATAATTTATACAGGGTGTCCCATAGTACCTTGGAAATATATTTTTTTAATATAATACAAATGGCGCGTTCGATGCGGGGTTAACACCAACAGTTCGGAATTCAGTTTCCATAGAGTGGACCGTGCTTTTTATGTGCGTGAGTTTAAAAAATCTATATATTAAGGACTGCAAATTCCAACAGATTAGTTAACACCATTACCTTGATATTTAAGAGTGAGACCAGTTTTAATCTTTGCTATAACAAGTGGTTCTAAGGAGTTCAATTTGTTTTCTCTAACGTCCAGCAGCTGCAGGTGTTCACTGCCAGCGATGACGTCACTGGGTAGAGATTCCAGTGCATTATTTTGAAGATAAAATTCTGTTAAATTCTCCGGTAAAGAGAATTTTGCCTCCGCTAAAAAAATATATAAGAAGTTGTCAATCTAAAAAGTTCCTAATTCAACTTTATGAACTACTAATTGATTAACAACAAAAATACTTACAAGTCCTTGAAACTAGGTCCTTCAAATTGTTATTGGACAAATCTAAAATCTCCAACGAAGTCAAGTTTCCTAAAACATCTGTAAAATAAGTGAATCAATTATTAATGTTTACGAAAAACAAAAAAAAAACATTTTTTTAATTATTCTGAGTATCCTGAATCAATAGTTGACATGAACAGAAACAAATTAGTTACAGAATATTGGTTAATGCGTGCGTACTCTGTACATATGACACATGTCAACCGACCGTTTTGTACTTTATCAACGACATCTTTGACGGAACTTCTATTTTATGGGCAAAGAGATTTGTGAAAATACCTGAGTATTTTTCTTTTCACACCAGTAATGCTTACACCGCCAACATTATCACCTTCGTCCTTATCAACTGTCGTAATACCACGTTACCGGGGCAAAAAAGTCATTATATATGCTTAATAAAGGGACTTCTTAATTGTTAAAAAATATTTGAAAATTTTATTAGACAAATACAAATACAATTCTAAAACAAAACGAAACTCACAGCTCCTAATATCATTAATAATATTGCCGGACAGATCGAGCCTCTTCAGCTTCTTGGTGCCAACAGTCAGATCAAGCGTGACCACCGGTATCTCATTGTGACTCAAGTCCACTTCTTTAAGATTGTAAGGTATCCAAGGGTTCGAAGGAAACATTTTCTTTGTTAGGAAACCGAAATGGTTATAGCTCAAATTCACCTAAAAACATTAATATATATAAATATTATAAACAAAACAGTAAAGCCAGTCCAGTCATCACTCGGTTAGAAAGAGATCACGGCACCCCTATCTATCTACTCTCTATCAGTACGTACTCGTAGTTAGAGCGAAAACGACAGATAGAGTATACGATCTACTCTCTGTCTTTTGGTATATTTAACTTGTAGCCAGCAGGCCAATGAAGAAGTATTTAAAAAAAAATCGTTTCCGAAACCAAACTAGATGTCACTACGGTACGTTCTTGATTCCTCCATGACAATCTTTCCGGTTTTCTTTCAAGTTTAAAAGTAAATTAGTTTTCAAAACTCAATAAACAACTCATATTCTATTTGTATTGATATCTAAGTTTCGAACTTTCAAATTTCAATGTTTTAATATGTTAGTTAAAAGGAACCGAAATTACTGTCTTTGGTCCATTCATTTCCTGCAAAAATCAACTTTTGCTAGAGTCGCCATCTAGTGGAGGTGCTTTTTTAGTGCTTTCTTTTTTTTAAATATATTTAGATACTCTACTATACCCGAAGGTTGACAACTGATTTGTATCAACAGACTTATAATTTGTTTACCACATATTACAATATTAACAAATACCTCATAAAGGTACTTACCATTTCTAAAGACAAACAATCGTCTAATAACCCATTGGTTTTATTGTCTATCTTCTCCAACAGATTGTGGGATAGATCCAGTTTTCTGTTAAACAATGAGAAATGCATCGTATGACATTAACACTGAGACCATTTTCGATATTATCGCACCCCCGGTGCGACACTGTCACTATTGCAAAAAATACAAAAATTTGTTAAATATGTAATAATTGTCCTAAAGCCCCCTTTACTTGGTGCGATAATGTTACTTTTGTAGATGAATCATACGGAAGTATGTTCCGTATAATTCATCTCATCTGTATCTTCTAAAGTCATTATTTGTGAGGTGGCAGAGTTTAAAACTCTTCTCCTGAAAAACTAAATTTTTGCATAAGTGACAGTGTCGCACCGGGAGTGCGTTATGTTACTCTTAATACAGGAGACTACCCAATACTGATAAATTCCTTCAAGACATTTTAAACCTTATTGTATTTAGATCTATTTTTGCCTGATTGACATCTTTTAGTCTATTTATTAATGTACTCTGTGTTTGATTTGTTTACATATCACAATTACGTCACGAATTAATGCGGAGAGTGTTTTCGAGCGTATAAAAAGAGTTTATCTTTTGATTAAATTTTAAACTAAGAAAACGTCTTTACTTAAACGAAATGTTCTCTGTGGCTTATTTAAATTGTTATAAGTAGTTTCCCAAACAGATTTGAATACTCTATCGCGTATTATTCAATGAAAATCGTTACAAATAATGGCTATTATTAACACCACTCACCTCAAAGCGACCAATCCCTTGAAAGCTTCATTAGGAATATATTTCAACATGTTCCCACTGAGCGATAAATCCAACAACTGTTGCATACCGGTGAATGAAAACGGGGCGATAGAAGACAACATGTTGTGCGACAAATCCAACTTGAATATAGTAGGAAGGTTGCCGAAGGCAGACTTCGATAAAGAAGTGAGATTGTTATCCTAAAAACATAACAAAACGGACAACAAAGTTAGTATATAATTAATAGGCTAGTTAACTCCTTTTATTTTTTTCATTTTATAAATAAATAGTCCATTACTATCTGAGAAATAATGTGTCAGTTACAGCATGTGTGCGATTAATAGTTTCGGAAATATGGTGCTACGTTTGTGGAACCGCTGCTAGTCGGCCGAAAACGCTCCCTACAAATCCAAGCCACTTAGTGACGTTACGCTTTGATATGGTAGCGAAAAACGCATGGACGTCTGGGCAATCTTTGTTGTTTGTGGATTTATGTTTACAATTGTTATAATGAAAATTGTAACGTTTTATGTAACTAATTTAATGCAATTCTTGCAATTTTTATTATCTATTGTACCTACTTTTCAAGTTCACAAAGCGTAATATTTTCCAAATTGGTGTAATAAAATTAATTTTGTTAAATATGAATAAGTTAGAATAGTTCATATTTTACGAACTTTACCTGTTTTTTCAGTTGTATAACACATCCCAAAACTATATAAGTACTATATTTTATATTTACTATAGAACAGTTCTAGCTTTGTGTTTATTGTTTTGTAGAGGGTAATCTTCAGAAATACTGGTCCAATCATAAAAACACTTTCACCTACGTAAAGTTATATTTTACGCGAGTGGCATAGGCTCTAATTAACGCGGGTGAAGTCGCGGGAAAACCACTAGTTTTGAATAAACAAACAACCAAACAACACATAGATTTCTGAATGTTGTCTGAATTAAATATAGTTATTTATAAATATTAGCACTTCCCGTAACTTCGCCTACGTAGAATCTAATATTCACGGGTGCGTGCCACTGACATCTAATGCGTCTTATTTTATACCTTATGTTTATTGAAACAAGAGACATTATAAATATTGATCGTACGGTCGGCCATCATCACAATTGGTAGATCTGTTCTGCGCAAACGGAGATTCATCATGTGCATTATCATCATCATCAGTCTTTTTTACTGCAGAGGCTCTGGCCTTCCTTATGGATGGTTAAGAAGGATAGGCCATAACCCTCCACGCTAGCCCAATTCGGATTTGAGGATATTAACGACTGCAAATTCAGCCGGGACCTTCCGGTGCCTTCCGAAGCACAGCTCGAGATAATTTTGGTCACACATCCCACAACAGACCATTGCGAAAGTTGTTTAACAATAAGGCCGCGGCGCTTATCAACTGCGCCACCGAGCTACTGTAATAGTAAGGATTAATAACTCACCTGCAAATATAAATATTGCAAACTGCTCAACGTGTTGAGAGCTTCCCATGGCGGCTTGGTAACTTCATTACTTGATATATCTAGAGCTTGCAATGTCAACAGTGAACTAAAACTGCCACTATGTAAGTTATCGGCCAAGTTGTTATGCGACAAGTTGAGTCTAAGCAACGCGTTCATAGTAGGCCACGTGTTAGCTTTAATCTCTGATAAACTGTTGTAAGCGAAATTGAGCTCTCTGTAATACAATTTTAAGGTTCAACGTCATAAAGGAATAATTTTCTAATCAGTGCACCCGGATACCCGGAGATTTTTATCGTAGTACCCTCATTAGGTTTAGTACATAATTAAATGAATAAAATGGTGATTTATACCTATAACCAAGTAAGAAAATTAAAAGATTTTTTTAATATAAATTTTATATGATGTGTTATATTCTACAACTTAAGCCTATATTGGGCGAGTTGTTCAGAAATATGTACGCCGCTATTTTGTTACGGAGGCCATTCTGGATTAATAATAATACCGATTATAATTGCATTATCACCAGAACTAAGGGTAAATTTAAAATTTCAGCCCAAATAAAGACTGGGAAGTGGGTAAAATTTAGCTTGCAAACTTGATAACAGACAGACAAACATCGAAATAAAAACAGGTAATAATATTTCTTTTTTTTAAACAATTTTTTATTTGTGCACACTAAAACGTATATAATAATTTTATGCAAGACAAGGTCATAACGTTAATTATAAAGTACTTATAATCATAATTTTCTCTAACAGTAATTGACTTGAAAAACTTGTAGAGACTTAAAAAATATGCGATTAAATTATCGCAACAAGCTTTTCAAGTAAATTACTGTTAATAGAGAAAATTTTGATTAAATTTATCATTTACGTTTAGTGCACACAAATAAAAACTTCTTTTATTACATTTTTAAGTTTGTCTCATTCTATTTATTTCTGACATTGCATCTGTATTGCAAGGTTTCTTTCCTGTTAATTTTATAAATGTTGTTGCTCTCATAAAGACAGATCTAACGAGTCCAAACACGATGCAGTTGCGTCATTTCATCACTGAGTTCCTATGACCACTTTCCGACTTCATCATCATATCAGTTTACTGACACCATTATATTGCATTGTCATCTGACCAACATGTCTATAAATACAAATTTAACATCTATCTGACATCAAATTTGAGTTCCAAGATTTGCGCACTAACTAACATTCTAACAAGGCAAGTTTAATAAAAGCTTATAATAAAAAACATATACCATACGATAATAGTAGTTATAGCTTTGGCTAATATCTTTTTATTAATTAGCCTATTGGTGGATTAGAGCCGTGCCATGTAGGTGTGCTATTTTGACTTCTTTTCACATTTTCATCTGTTATACTATCGGTTACAGAAACTTCAATTTGGTTTAATAAAGACTTTAAGCTCTTAACGAATGTCCGAAATTTAAAAAATTATATTAGTAACATCACTTACAACTAATAACAATTTTAATGGGCTTTTGTGTAACTTGTAACATTTCGTTATTAAATTACATCTACTATATTTACATATATAACTATAAAATAGTATAACTCACCCTAAACTGATGGGTATCTGAAATATCCTGTCGAGGTGGTTATGGCTGATGTCCAGTACTCTACAGCTGGCCAATTTAGCCAACCCGGCTCTAGACACGTCGCGCAACGAGTTGTATGACAAATCCAACTCCAACACAGTAGGAATAGTGCCGAATGTTGATGGCTTTATGTGCTCCATACTGTTGTGACTTAAGTTCAAGAATCTGAACAAAATATTTATAATTTACTTATTTATTTTTGTAACTGTAATGATTATTATATGATTAATGTAAAGAAAAAGTAGATAAAAAAGTCAGGAAAAGCCTGAAAATGTTTAACATGTTTGTTTGCATAGCAAGAAATTAGGAAAATATAGAAGCATATGAAATGTTGTGCTGGAAGTAAATAGAAAGAATAAGTTGTATGGAAAACAAAAACAATGGGGGTTTATAGTCAACAGTACGTCACTATACAAAACTGGTAACATTTCTCACTCTATTTTAAACCGTAAAATAGAGTGAGAAATGTTACCTAACAAATCAATGTTACCTAAGAAATGTTACAGTAGTGGGAAAAATACCTTGCAGAAATTTGACATATTGTGCTAACCTGACTACTCAACACGATAGAGAACAGAAGGGGAAAATAAAGGGACAGTTGTTGAAACATGACAGTTTATTAATCCACATCATATAAGATAAACTAGAAGGGTTAAGAGGAAGACCTAGAGACTACTACTTTGAACAAGTAAATGAAAAAGTAAGTGTTTTGTGTTACCAAGAAGTCTAGCGGATTGTGGACAATAGAGAACAATCGAAAAGACTCCACTGACAAGAGTATCACTCTTGAAATATTGTAATGGATATTGGTTTTAATTTATTTAATGTTATGTCTTAATTTAATTTATCATTCATTGGTTTACAGACCAATCAAATTAATCACCGCTTTATCTTTAGATTTATAAGTTCCAATTTTTATCTCTAAATTCACACGGAAAAGGATCAAAAGTACAACTTAGTAAATGAAATATTTACCTCAAAGAGAACAAATTTTGGAAAACAGCATTGTAGATATCAGACAAGTTGTTATATGACAAGTCCACTGTATGCAACTCGTACAGTTTGGGAAACGCATTCCTCTGTATTGTTTCTATCTTATTGTGAGAAGCGTTCAGTACTCTTAAACCAGTCATGTTATGTATGGGTATCTGAAAAAATAATGTTAATCGATAAGTGGTTAGCGCGTTCAGTCTGCGATTGCGGATGTTAAGCAACCTTTGCAATAGTCAGTCACGGGACGGGTAACCATTAGCTATGACTACTGACTCAAACTCCTCCGTACTTCGGAAGGCGCATTATCGCATTGATTATTAGCACTTGCTAGACTACATTAGATCAGCATTTCTTCCTACAGGGAGACCTGTGCTTCAATGCATACCTTTCACAATCGAACTGATCGCGTGGTAATGTCAGAAACCATTTACGCAGTTTCTACACTTTTCACGAAAAAAACTAAAACATCACGCTGACTAACTAACGACATCTATCGACTACTAAGAACAATCTAATCATAAGTTATTATTATACTAACCTGTGAGAAATCAGTGAAACCATTGTAGGACACTTGCAATTCCGATGCGTAACTGTTTTCATCGAACGCCTTCTTATTGATGTCTGTCAAATTGTTATAACTCAGATCCAATAAGGTCATGTTATTGCAGTTCTGGAAGGCACCAGGTTCGATTCTCGATAGCGCGTTGTGTGATATATTCACAACGGCTAAATACAAATCAGTGAATGCTTGAGACTCTATATGTTTTATATTGTTCTCAGCCAAATTAATGAGCTGGAAAGAGACAGTCACATAAAACAGAATTAAAATTTATGATTGTATTTTATACCACATAAATATTTCCTATATTTATTTGGTATAAAATGCAAGAACAAAGCTTTATGTCCACTTTCTATACATTGATTGATCTGTCACATGTTTTTTAAAATTACCCAACATTGGCGATAATTTATATTAGTTTTTGCTTAAAATATAATAATATCTTAGCATCTTTTCATCTAGAGGCCAGGGAGATTCGTAATTTGTAATTAATGTTTTAAATTGTAATTAATGTTGAAGCTGATTTAAAAAATAATGCATAAATATGGAAATAAATCGAAATGTAATAGTTAATGTGTACTTTTTTACGTTATGACGAAATATTTTTTTTTCATATTACATGAAACAAAACGTAGCAAACCGTCATTGGGTCAAAATGGCGTTGAGGTAGTGTAGCAAAAGCGTCATTTTAAGGGTCCGAATCACATTCGGGTAGTTATCATAGTACTATTTAAATATAATTATAATATTATCCTGTCTTTTATTTAAGATATAATTTCCTTATATGAAATAAGTAGAAAATAAGCCACATTTTGAGATATATCACATCACTAGACGCATTAGTGAATTTTTAGGTCGAAATTGGACATATTCTTTTACTTTACAAAAAATATATTATTAGTAAATTAAGTAGATAACATAATAACATTGTTCTAGCAATCTTCGTTGCTCAAACAAATCTATAAACAAATCTATTGAGATGAGTGGGCTTATTGCGTACAGTAAATTTCAACTAATATGGCGCATGCTGAATCTTCGTATGCGATAAGCAGATGTACCAAATTCCGAGCAGGACCGAACATACACTTAATATTTATAAGTGGATCTTGTTTGAATATAAATAAGGTCTAAAATAACGAATGTCAGACCCGTGGATATTGGCGGATCGTTTGATGGCTTGATACTTGAATCATTCTTATTGGCTGAGATTCGAAGAGCTTCAAAATTGAACCTTCTGAGCAGGTATATTAGTGATACACATCAGTTGTATCTTACTGTAACTAATTGAAGTTTAAGCAACTGACATCGAACTCTTAACACTCTTTAACTTTCAAATGAAGTTACGCGTGTTTGTGTGACTGCAATTGATTTCCTTTTACGATGAAATCTAAGTAAATCATAAAAAGAAATCAATTGCTTTGCCACTTAAATAATTAAATCCAAATAGAAATTAGATTGTTTTTAGTCAACTTCAGTTAAGAGAGTGATATTTCAGTTAACAGAATTAGCAACAAGTGACACTTACCTCAGCGTATTTGACAGCTTGGAACATCTGGTAGTCAACTTTAGTGATCTTGTTCCTGGCCAAGTCCACCGTACCTATTCTAGTGACGGATGTAAATGTACCTCGACCCACGTCAGATATCTGATTGTCGTTCAGAAATAGACGTCTGAAAATGAATAAAACGCGTATAAAACTGTCTTGTGAGATCATCATCACCAACAATTTCTAAGACTAAAATCGCAAAGGAGGACATAATATGTTTAACGGCGATGTATGTTTTTTTATTTTTATAAAGTTCTCTCAAACCATTAGATAATTATAAAATTACTTCACAAATTCACATTTATTTTCATTCGCTGTAATAAAAGAATAAATTAATTATATATTGTAAATGTTACAGGAATCTTTACAATCTTTACTTTACACACACTTAAGTAGCGTTTGTATACAGATGATTTCGGAAATAGAAAAAATACCGTCCAACACTAATATGATAAACTATAACTACATCGTCTCCATTGTCACTAACTTCCCACACACTCAAGATTATGCCTTTCCGGTCACTCGTATCCGTAACCGTAAAAATAACACTGACCTTAAAAATCTCATTCCCCTGAAGCTGTTGGTGTCCAATTTCTTTATTCTATTATTATCCAGATGTACGACTTTTATAACTGTGTTTCTTGCAAACATTCCCCTGTAACAAATTATTTTCTTTTTCTTTGAAATCAAATCATTTATCTATTTTAATATTGTTAAAGAGGTAAACAAAGGTAGTACCTTTGTTTCTTTGTAGGGGGTAATTCTTTGTAGGGGGGGGGGGTAAAGCTTCATCATACGCGGATAATATAGGCTATAACTTTCGCAGGAAAAGTCACGGCAAAACAGTTAGTAACGTGTACAGAGAATTAAAACAACACTATTCTACACCGGAAAGATAAATCTGTTGTATCACACTCTAAAATAAACTATCTAACTTTTACAAGCCCATTAATGTCCCTATTTCTGGGGTAAAGAACTTCCCTATGGATAGAATCTAATTGGGAGAATAGGACATTTCCCACCACACAGGCTCAGTGCGTATTGGCAGATGTTAATGACTGCAGATGCACCCATGACCATTGGCTTAACATGCATTCCAAAACACGGAGGAGCTGGAGATATCATAAGATATAAATAGATAAAAAGCGTTTCATATCAAACCTTGCTATTTCTCCAATTTGATTGTGGCTAGCATTACACCAACCTAGTTTAGTTAAATCACCTATATGGCTACCGTCCAATTTCGTTATCATGTTGAAACTGAAAAAAATACATAAGAGACACATTAAATCATCATAAATCATTATTATTATTAGATAAAATCTCGACAAACATCATGTATTTATGATTAAAAACCAAATAACTTTGCCCACTTATAATATGCATATAATTTGCAAATGTGACATTTTAGAAAAGGATGTAATAATAATTTTTCCTACACTCACTCTGTTCAAAATTTACTAATATTAGGGCAAGTTCCTCTAGAGTTTTAGGGAAGGGTTTAATTTTTAAATTCAAAATTCCGTTTCTAAGCGCATTAGAAAAAAAGTTTAATACGTTATGGGGATGACGACTAATTTTTGTTTGTTTGTCCGTCAGGTAGAGTGTTAAAAAATATTAAACACGTATTTTTTTATTCTTTTCGTAATCATAAAATTACGGCGATACATGGAGTTGAAATTTCGCATGACGTCACGTTATGGTACGTTTTCTACTAAACTGTCACGAAGCGAGCCCCCACTCCTCGACTTTAATGCCTGTTATCTAAGCTATTTCTTGTCAAATTGAAGTAAAAAAAAATACGTATCTAGTATTTTTCTATTGTCTAACTGACGGACTAAATAGAATTTACCCAGTCGTCATCCCTATTTAAAACTGTCACTCATAAAAATATTCTTCCAACGCAATTCGGAAGAGTTCGTTGTCTGACTTTCACTGATGCAAACTGCGATTTGAATTCTTTTTTTTCAGTAAGTTTGCATTTTTGCACCATAAGTGTAGTAGTACCTATAAAGTATTGTATATCCCATGGGTGTAAATATTAATTAGTTAACTCATGTAGTTTAAGATCACCTTGCGGTAAATCGCAAATTGTCAGTAAACAGAGCGTCAGACTATACAACACTGCAAATTTCCCCCACTTGATTTGAAACCTTAATACATTAAGAATAAAGGTCAAACCCCATTGCAAAAATTTGTTATATTGTGGTTATCTGACGTGCAGCCGTGTTTTTAATTAAGATACTTTTGCCTTGGATTTTATAGATATCAGAAAAAAATATTATTATGAACACAGAACAAACAAGCTCCATACTAATATTCTAATGTAATAAAATAAACAATGTTAACCATTACCTACCTTAAATCTAATACTTCTGTATCACGTAGTCCTTTAAATTGATTTCTTTTTAATGTCGACAACTTATTTCCGTGTAAATCCAATGTTTTGAGCTTTTTCAAATGCTAAAAATAAACGAGTCAAATAAAATTACAAGCGAGTGGGTTGTAATGATCCGCGAATTTAACGCAGGAACGCGGGCAGATTGCATCTTTTATGTGGACTGCTTCACATTCTCTAAAGGAACATAAAACTTCGAACACTAACTTTTTAGTGAAATCAGAACATCAATATTACCAAAAAATAGGCTGTATGGATAAAATATCCCTTTGCCTCAAATGAAATCACTACTACTATCGGTTTACTCACCTGAAACGACTCAATGGGTATATCTGATATCATTCCATTGACAATATGAAGTTTCTCCAATTTACCTACAGCTTGGCTACCGGCAAATATGTCTTTATCCAATTTTGTCATCTTATGGCCATCTAAAGACAGAATCGACAAATTGCCAAGAATCTGGGGAAAAAAGAAGTAATGGCAAAAACATAATATCAACTGTAACATGTAAAAAAATCTCTTAATTTAAATTAATGGATTAAGACTTAGGTCTTAATCCAATTTTGACTTTGAAATGTAGGCAGTCCATATACATAAGCCATCTAAATTTTAACCTAAAGCCTACATGTTTAAGAACATTGATATAAGTTTTGATACTCAGAATGTAGCTGCTACTTATATGAATCAAAACTTTAAAAAAGGAGTGCCTTGCAGACACCTTGCGCGTGAGTAGGGAAATAATTCGAGGAGTGAGCAACAAGTAGGGTTGCAGTCTTCAAAATATAAAATACCTAACTCTGCGCTGTATCGAGATATATAGTGTGTTGCCTCAAGGATTCCGCAACATGTTATCACACACTCACTATCTTTTTTACATAGTGGTTCTTAATAGGTAGTCCCTAGAAGCATGCCAAGTGTCTAACCTCGTCGGAGGTCACCTCAACTTTTTCCAACCGGGGGCAGAAATTTGATATTGCGTTTTACTCCCGATTTATACAAAGTATCTTTAATAAAATATATCGCCTAACTTACCTTAAAAGCCTCTTTAGGAAACTCATACATGTCCGTATTAAAGAATCTTAGCTCCTGTAAGGTTCTGTTCACACCTGCAAACGCATACACGTCGATAGTGCGAATGGGTGTGTCTATAATATGCAACACCCTTATTGTAGACCGATGGAGTAGTGCACCATGCATATGAGCTGAAAAATAAAATAAATATATACAATAAAGCATTTTAGGGACTGTAAATATTTTAAAGTAGAATTGTAATAGCTATCTACATGTATTAGTCATAGAACATAAAACTTACAAAATCTGCCTTCTCTTATCTCTAATTTTTCAACTGGCAACCCCAATCCTGCTAAATTCCCCAAGCCAACGCTCATTATTGCCAGTCCTGTGTTTTCACATCTAAATAATAAAAAAACATATTACCTAAGTATTTTATTTTACACTAAAAACTTTTTTAAACGCTGCAAGGAGATATGCTCTTCCATAACAGGCTTTTACTTTTATACATCAATCTATCACAGCTGAATAACGCAGAAATTAATAATGTATGCAATAGTATTCTTTTTTTTTTATTTGCAATTCATTCCATTCTAATTTAAGATTATTAATTCATTCAAAAAGTATAGGTTGTTAGTCATGAATATATTCACCTGACACAATTCGGACAGGTTTATAGTCATTTACAGTGAATATTATGTGACTTAATCCATTGCAAAATAAGAAACCCTGAGTGATATTGTATTCTTTCCATAATGAATATAGTATATAGTATTATATATCCCTCAGGGGTAAGTATTGATTAGTTAACTCATGTAGTTTAAGTAATATGCTCACTTGTTAAGTAATCATTGTTGCCTTACTTTTTTTGTAGAATAAATTATTATTTTATAAAATATTACCTGACATAGAGTCCTGCATCTGATCCCTTCTCACATACACATGGGTGAATGAGAAGTTTATCAGTGTTTTTTGGACAAACATATGCTGGCCCTGGTGGAATATACTCCATATTTGAATATGGCAGTGTTGCCAATGTAAATAATATTACAGTCCACTTATACATGGTAGGTTGATGATCTAAAAATACAAATTTAATAATCACAATTCTAATAAATACTTACCCTATCTTAAAAGTTATTTTATGCAACTTATTGTAAAGAAATCCCCAGCATGTTGCTTAGTTACATCTCAAACTAAGTAGCTAGTCTTTTTAATAAAAAAAGTAAAACAATGATGTCCTATGATAAAAAACAATATTACAACTTATTTGCAAGATAACAACCTTTTCATATTGAGACAATAACAAATTTATAGATAGATTGAATATTCTTTATTGTACACACAAAAAGAAAATACACATATATGACGAAAGCAGGAGACAATTGGCAGCCTTATCAATAAGAGTGATCTCTTCCAGGCAACCTTGGGATGGAGTCAAATATAAAAGACCTAATGATGGGAAAGTGGATGGTGTGCCTGTAAACAATTTATAAACATAGAATTATATACTGTTATTAATTACTTAGACAAGATTTAATTTTTATAATAGACCTACATATACTATAATAATTATTATCATATAAAATACATATATAAACATATAATATCTATATACAAACTTACATACTTTTAGAGACAAGTAGTGCTAGCTAGTTTCCTAAATATATTAATAGAATAAGCTTTGCTAATCAACAAAGGTAGCGGTATGCATGTGGATTGAATTGATCTCAAGAAGTGGAGATGAGATGAGATTCATTGACGAATACCCCAAAGTAATGACTTTAACAATTTTATTTCAATTTAAATTTTCACATGATTCAACTTCCTATACTAGGTATCTCTATCTGATTCTTATCTAATAAGCAACAGCTTAGTGCAATATCAAAAATTCTGTAATCAAATATAACATGGAAAATTAATTGAAATTAATATGTAACAAAAATATTAAAAAGTTATGGAGAAGAAAGTTAAGTATTGATAAGATAAAAAGAAACAGTAGAAAATTAACCACATAAAATTAAAGTTGATTCCAAGGCAAAAGCATTCATGACACTTAGTATAAAAAAAACTTTATTTAACTTTTTAGAAGGTCATCTAAACCTGTTATGTTTGCGTGTAATATAATTACGATGCAGATATTGTAATAACTGTGTGTACACGCTTTATTAGTTTTTAATTACCCAGACACTGAATAAGTGCAGCATTCCCTTGACAAAGTTTTACTTCGCGAAACAGCACGTATTAGAATAACATACTTTCACCAACACATTTACAGGGAATGATCAATTACCTGCCAATAACAACTTATCCATTATTGATTATAGCAAATCCTGCAGTCTATATGTTAGTTGCGACTGTTGTAACATAATAATTAGAATATAACTGACGCAATAATCTTCTGCGAAAAACTGCACACCCTACCAGTGTATGTTTCACTCAATACTATTTTTTTATTTGTTTTATTTTATCTTTTCATTGAATTATAAAGGGCAAAGGCAATTATATACCATACAGCCAGACCAAAAGTATTTTTTTTTAACATTACTTATTGATAGAAATAAAATGGTAACAAAAAATAAGTAAGTAAGTTGTTAGATAATATATCTGATAATATTATAAAAAAGTTAATCCGTACAGTATTGTTAACAATAGAAGCGAAAATGGACAAAGAGAACGGCCGGTGACAAGAATGAGGAAGTATTAAAAAAAAAAATTTGTTCCCGAAATCAAACTAGATGTCGCTATGGTCCTTTTTTAATTTGGGTTTTCTTTCATGTATAAAAGTAACTAATTTTTCAAAACTCAATAAACAACTCATATTCTATTTGTATTTTTCGTATTTGTATTGATATCTCAGTTTCGAACCTTAATGCAATAAACAAAAAACAAAAATTTTCCACGGTGAATTTTATTAACCCATTTCATCTTTCATTGAGGCCACTTACAATCATCATTAATAGAAATAAGTGAATTAATTAATACCACCATGGGATGCCGAATATGTTTTGATAATTTGAATAAGAATAAGTATTGACTTGTAAGTAAGTATTCATACTTGTTTCACTTTATTTGAAACAAGTATGAATACTTACTTACAAGTCAATACTTATTCTTATTCAAATTATCAAAACATATTCGATATTTTATGAAAGGATCTTTTCCAGAAATAATAATAACTACATTTTTGAATCATTGAAATGAGTAAGTATTTAAAAAATAAAAATTAGATATTGAAATCATACTAGATGTCACTCGCGATGTTTGGGTTTTGTTTATGATATTCATTCAATTTTGATTCTGACGTAATAAAAGTAAATTTAGTATCGAAAATTAAAAAATATGACATTGTTTTGTGTTTTGTTTTGTTGTTCAAATTAATTTTAATAGTAGCTTTAAATTGTTTATTATGTTACGTGGAAAGGAACGATGTTTGGTTGATACAATAACACTCTTTGGTTGATACGTCAACATTAGTGATGAGCCAACTTATTGGTTGCTCGTAATTTTCATCCGAATTCAGATTTGGAATGAAGAACAAAGTACGGAGCACAGAATTCAGCTTGTATTTGTATGTGTCATTATGTATCCACAAAACGAATAATATTACTATAAATATCAAATCCAATTCGGTCTAGGCTGTTACATAGTACTTCGAAAAAGTCGAAAACTTTGCCAATGGTTCGCAAAACTAAGGCGGGAGATATTGTACTGACAAGAATCGGCAAGAAACTCAGCAAGGGCTGCTTTTTTAATTTTAACTATACTATATTTGAGTAATTTCAGAGTCACTGAAGATAATCAATGTTAGAATTATTAACACTGTTGTAAGCCTGCATACACCGGTAGAGGCGAGCGAACTTTCCTAAATTTGTTTTGCTAAAAGGTATTCTAAAGCATATTTTTAAGGAATATGGTAAGGAACATTGAGAGTAACATTTTGTAACAGATCAGAGGAGTTGATATTACTATGAACGAGTTTATACGAATTGAATTATAAATGTAAGATGTAATAACTTATCACAGTTTCTTTTTAATTCTTAATTTCGAGAGGAAAACTTATTTGCACGTTATACTTTGCACAAACGTCATTCTAGCCAGAAATCATGTTATTTTGTACGAATACCTAGTATATTTGATACATATTGGGTAAGTATATAGATAATAAACGGATTTTTTATTATTATTATCGTTTTTATGACTTCCATTACTTTTAAAAAAAACCTTCTCTATTCTCACTTCCATTATGTTATAATTTATAGTAATATATTTATAATTATAGTTTTGTTTTTCCTTTATACAAATAAAAAAGAAATCTATTCAAGGATTAGTTTTCAGGATTAGCTGATAATAATCGAGTTACCAGATCTCTAACAACACTGACAATTCTATTCTCTTTGGTTTGACATTTAGATCCTACAAATTGTGCTGCCATCTAGTGAAATAAATATTTGAAGTTTCTTAATTTTTTTAATACTCCCTCATTGATTTTATACATATATCTACATTACTCTTTTATTTATTAATGATAAGGGGTAAGATTTTCGAGAGCTGGTAATAAATACAGTATCAATTACCCATTCTGTCATTCACACGTATTATGTCTTTATTTAAAGTTTAATCGTAGATATAAGGGTGACAAACATACTAACATAAATATATATATATATTTATGTTAGTATGTTTATATATATATATTATATATATATATATATATATATACATATATATATATATATATATATATATATATATATATATATATATATATATATATATATATATATAATGAAATCGAAAGAGCCGCATGCAGCTCGTGAGTAGCAGACATATAATCGTTGGTAGCAGGTTGCCGATCTCTGGTATATATCTATAAAAGATAGAAAACTTCAGTTTTAATAAAAAAGTGTTTAATAAAAAAATTCCACAAATAAAATGTTCATGATAACTGTAAACGCTGAGGTGATTTTTGGTTGCAGGGCTTCAGCATAGCTCAGATCTAAAGTACTATCAAATATTTCCCCTTTCCTAAAACAATACTTTCTGAATGATAGCCGGCTAGTATTTTTTTGTGGTTCTACCGGCTCATCTACATCCATCAATGAGTAATAATAAGCTTTAAAATATGGTATAAAAAGACTGCTTCCGAAAAATACCCATATCATAATGAAGAATAATGTGAGCATCATAACTTGACAAAACACATAGAAGTAATATGGAAATATAATAGCATTTGGCGTCGTAATCTTTGTTATCTTGCACACTATCCATTGAATAACCATCCAATACACCATACATTGATTTGTACCAGCACATAATGATACAAAACATTCCCAGAATCTCGAACATAAAATATATGGAAAGCAAAACACTTCCCACCAGTCGTATCTGAATACGTCATCTGTTTGGGCGTGAAACCGTTCTCCTTCGACTGCGTCGCAACGAAATTTCTCACTTATAGGTTTTTTACGTGGTTTTTTTGGAGGCATAGTGATTTAGTGAAGAATGATACTGTAAAAAAGGGAAAATGTGGATATTGCTAACGTCAAAAACTGTCACTATCTTTAGATCAGATCAGTATACTTATTTTATTTTATTTTTAAACTTGGATGAAATCTTGTTCCTAGATTTAATTTGTTACAAATGTAGGGTGCTTGGTTATATACAGCGTAAATAAACTTCCTCAACGCCTTAATGTGAAACATATGTTGATAAATGTAAAAGACTTTTTGATAAATGGTTATATAAATGATAGTGGGATAGTTATTGCTGTTTTAAAAGTTTTTAATTTAAATTATTTATAACCATTTTTGTTATATTTCCCAAGTGGCAACATAATATTATTTCTGTTGCGTTCAGTAATGAGGAAATATTAAAAAAAAGAAAGCACTAAAATAAGCACCAAAAGGTAGTCATTTCCGTTCCTTTTAACTAACATATTAAAAAACTGAAATTTGCAAAGTTCTAAACTTATATATCAATACAAACACGAAAAAGTTCAAATAGAATATGAGTTGTTTATTGAGTTTTCAAAACTACCGTAGCGACGTCTAGTTTGATTTCGGAAACTTATTTATTTTTAATACTTCCTCATTATGGAATTTGGAGTATCACGAAGGGATAAAAATTGGTTATATATGTGTTCAAAATTGGTGTTATATGTGTTAAAAGGTGCTTTTTAGTGCTTTCTTTTTTTAAATACTTTCTCATTATATGTTATGTGGCAATACTACTATGAGATAAGCTTCAACCAAAGGCGTCGAAGACCATGCCGGAGTTGGTCGAACTGCCGTCCACACGGTTGTCCAACCATTAGGTGGTCGGTGGTTTTAGCTCCAACCACCTACGATGTAAACGGCTTTTTACCACAAACAGTCGGTCAGTTATTAGCAAGAATTTTAAATATATAAACTTCTTGGTTATCAGTCTTGGATCATATAATTTTTGTAATCCGCAGTATAATATTAAACTTAGAATAAAGGTGTTAAATAGTATTAAATCAATGACAAGGTATAGCAACACCGCTAATAAAAATCAGATTTTTGGAAGTATTCTTTTCATTAGTTAGTTCGTGGTTAGTTCACCCCCAAAATGGCGAGTGGTTCGTAATGTCATCTGTCCGTGTTGATTTCAGTTCATAATTTTGTTAAAATCCAAGTATTATTATCCTATCACGATAGTGAAATACAAATAGAAAATTGGGACGGGAATATTATTCTCAAAAATTATCATACTGTTCTACTGGTGAGTGCAACTTTATTTTTTAGTGAAAAGTGAAACTATTCGATTTCACGCAACGATACTTTCCTACTATTTTTTAAAAGAATCATATCATAAGTACCAAGCGAGGTTGAAATTATTTAATTTTTAATTATTATTATTGTTGAATTTCAAATGGGAAAGATCTAAAACGATTTTTAATAGGAGTTAATTCACAATTTTAGTAGTAGGTCAGGGATACAGTATATATTACATTATTTCATTATAAAATGAAATGAAATACATTTTTTAACGCCAGTCTCAATTGTATGTCCCTCGTTAATTATTTTCTATAATATGACATTTAAAAAATGTGTTCTTTTGGCTGACCTAGTGATCGCCATTTCTGACCTTCTTTAAAAACTTTCGAAACATCTCATTATTCTAATACTGTTTATTTACTAACAAAATTTGAATCGCACAACAAATTTATAAATTACAAATATTTGGGAGTTGAAAATTTATTACATCCTTAAATTGGTGAATAGTTAGAAATGTGTGGTGGTTGTGTGTCTGAATTACCTCTATGTTAATTCTTTCTGTAAACAGTTCGATGAATTAAGAGAAACAATCACATTCAAAAATGTGAATATAGTCTTAGTTATAATAAAATTGATGATATACAAATTAAATTCCAGAGAAATTAATAGGTCAATTTTATATAATCATTTT